ATTCTAACACAACATCAACAAATAAAATTTTAATGCTGTACCTTATATATAGCTAAATTGCGCCTGATTTGTTTCCGTACTCATTTTCAGTGCGTTACATTTTTAGTGGTTACTTTGCGTGTATAATGATTACGTCATTTGTCTTAATATAGAATGTCAAACAGTGATTTTATTGCATAATAACTCACACTTTCGATCTTCTATGCTCAATAGGGAAAAATGCGGGTCGTGTTCGAATATTAAGTAAAATATGTTATTGACCCTTTGTTTTCTGTTAGATAAAAGTAAATTATCAGATATATTCTATCTGCTATTTAAAATCATTCTTAAAGATGTTAATCTCTTCCTCAGCTGTATGTGCGTTTGTGTGCACACCTGTGAATTTTATTGGGTGGGGGGATTGCATTTTGTAATTGTTATTATTTGCAGGCCTTATTTTTTTTCTCATTTAATTACTGACTGATTTATATCATAATAAACAATGAAATTTGGGACTGTAAAGAGTTGTAAGAATAGCATGAGCTAAGAAGCTTAGAACATCTATTATCATCTTTCTCATACTTTTGGCTTAATAGTAAAGAAGATCCTGGATAATGCTTAAATAATATAATTTGTACACAAAAGCACATCCTGTAAATTATCTAAGTTTTCAAATTAAGAAAAGCCTATGTATAGAATAGATGTAAAATAAAATGAGAGTGTTCTCATTTTCTAAAGGCTTATATTAACATCTTAGATGGTTTTGTCATTATGTAAGTTTACATTTTGAACTTTGATTCTTGCAAAAACAAACATATTTGGTACTTATGATGGGTTTGACAATCTGAACTGTGTGTCACATGGAAAAAAATATTATATATAAAATGAATTTCTTTAAAAAAAATCATTTGACTGAAATTTTATTTTAAAAACATAAAATTTGAAGGTTTTTCACTGAAATATCCAGGCCATATGTTAAATTAGTTCATACTAAACACAACTAAGCTTGGATCTGTTCATTTGACCCATTACATTTATCAGAATTTAAAGCAAAAATTTAGTTACAACCCTTTCGCACCAAATCATTTTTTGAATTTTTTTATTTTTTTGGTGCGAAAGGGTTGTAACTGAAACTTTATCAATTATCTCTTTATGCTGACAAAATAAAATAACGTTTCCAATCAATTATATATTAGTAAATGAATGAAAGCCAAAAACCAAAATTAAAGAAGTATTTATTAGAACGTAAAAGAATAAATAAGTTTTTTGTCTCTCCTGAATAATTTCAAAATATTGAGTTACAACCCTTTCGCACCAAGGCATCGATCTGCATATATGTCCATAAGGCAGTTATCACAGAAGTTTTTGTTTTATAAATATTGCTGCCTTGGCAACCGGAGATTTGCATGGAATATTATTCTTTGAACACTTTTGAAAAATCTTATCACCAGAAACAATCCTTTTTAGTTTTAACATCATTGGCTCAAGGTATAAAAGGAGATGTAGTTTGAATATGATCACAGCCAGCTTATAAATAGAGGATATTGAATGAGTGTAGTTTAATACTAAATTTATTGAACAAGTTGAATAAAATCATATTATGCCTCTGGCAAGCATAATATTGTTTTATTCAACGAGTTCAATAAATTTAGCATTGAATCTACACGAATATAATATTCTATTTATCACATATATAAAATAAGAACTGTAAACTGTTAAAATGAGTATTTTTTTGACGCGCCAATATTGTAACGCTTACATTAGCATGCTTTAACGCTATGTTTATATATAGCGAAAATGACGTCACCTCAGTGTTATTACACTAGTGTAATAACGTTTTTATTAAATGGCTTTATTACACTCCTGCACCGCGGTTTATGTGATAAATGCTTATAATGAGCATTTTGTGCTCATGGGAGTTGCACAGGGCAATAACTCAAAAATCATACAAAAAGAGTTATGGCTCTTTAACAGTTTGCTTTTCATTAATGATATAAATACAGATGTGAAATTTCATATTGATAGTATTTTATTATTTATACCCTGGACTAAAATAAGGTATGAAAAGATATTCTGCGAAGAAAATGAACGGAAACTGTACGTTGGTGGACCTTAAGACAGACAGCAGTGCAATATGCCCTCTCTCATTCAAAGAGGGGCATAAAAACATTATGACCAAAGTAAGTTTACAGAATTACGATCAACATCAAGAAAAACATGACTGTAAAAATAGATATTATTTTTTTTCTTCAGAAAAATCAAGCTTAAATGGGTCGACAATGCATATTGTTATTATTTTGGTTCTTTTTGCCTAAAATATTTCCTTTTTCCTATTCTTCTAAGATGATTGATGATTGAATAAATAATTTAAAATACTTTAAATTCTACACACATGTTGATAAGTTAACAGTATTTCAGGTCACAATTTTAGTTTTATTGATAAACATGTTTAAATGTAACATACATGTGCATTAAAAATATTTTGACTTTCATACTTCTACATCATCTCATGTCTAACAACTGTACAGCTGACATTTATTTGTCAAAACTTCATCCTCTTTTGATACTACATGTATATAAGGCCCCCACGATTACACGTTTAAACGGATTCGTTTCGATTTTCATTCATAAACGTTTACGATATTGTTTACCGTTTAATCGAAAGACCATATTGTCTTACAAAATTTCTTAATCATTGCCTGTAATCATGGATTTTATCAATTCTAGTGGTTTATTCCAAAGTAAACAAACGAAAAATGGGTGTTTACAACCCTCCACACAGCATTACCGTGCAAAATTGCTTGTGACATAATACATTTTTGGTAAAGAATGGGGTTACAATGCAAAAAATGTGTGCAGACACAATCGTGATGAGCCTTGCACATTCTTTATTTGTACATGTATTAAAATAGAAAGAAAGACATCATTTGGCGACTCAAATACATGGTGTGTATAGTACATAGAGGTACCACCGTTTAAACGGTATCGTTTCTGTTCTTAGCAGTCATGTAAACGTTTACAAAAAATTGTAAACGTGGGAGCCTTACATGTATACAATATATTTATCAATTTACAATGAACTGATTATTTTGTGCATTTTTTTTTTCATATGATGATGGTAAAGAAAATGTACAAAAGTGAAACATTAAACTTAATTCTTCTGCACTGCAAAGTTATATTTCAAGCATTTAAATACATGTACATATGTACCATGTATGTTCATACATGTACAATATAAGATCTGCCTCGTAAGAAAAGGTTAAACAAGAAACATGGCAATGCCATGAAACCAGGTTTTCAATTATCACCATTGTAGATAAATATGTTGTATTTGAAATACAAATACAAGCAACAAACAATGTAACTATGTGCAATGTAAAACATGAATAATGTAGGAGGAATTGCCACTGAAGAAGTGTTCACTATAATATTATGTATAAGGAAAAAAACAAAGGGCCATAATTAGGTCAAAAACTATCCAATCACAAAACCCCGACAATATGTGCCAGGGTGCTTGATGACAAAGCTTCTGTGAAAGTTTGAACAAAATCCGTTGAGAAATGTAGGACGAGTTCAGCACAGAAGAATTTGTTCACTATAATTATATTGATAATTCTGTATAATGAAAAACAAGTTACAAAGTAGACATGAAATAATATATCATATCTTTTTTAAATTACCTCCAAAGATGATATGACCTTTGACTGCCAAATCAAGTTAAAATCATGTAAACAGGATTTTCAATGTTAATGTCACTGTGACCTTGACCTTGGAGCCAGCCATGCGGAACATGCGTTCTGCACGTCATCTTGATGTGGTAAAACATTTGTCTGAAGTTTCATCAAAATTCTTCAAAGGGTTGAAGAGTTACAGAGCGGACAGGATTTTCAATGTTAATGTCACTGTGACCTTGACCTTGGAGCCAGCCATGCGGAACATGCGTTCTGCACGTCATCCTGATGTGGTAAACATTTGTCTGAAGTTTCATCAAAATTCTTCAAAGGGTTGAAGAGTTACAGAGCGGACACAATTTCGTTTGACGCCCGAAGTTAAAATCATGTAAACAGGATTTTCAATGTTAATGTCACTGTGACCTTGACCTTGGAGCCAGCCATGCGGAACATGCGTTCTGCACGTCGTCTTGATGTGGTAAACATTTGTCTGAAGTTTCATCAAAATTCTTCAAAGGGTTGAAGAGTTACAGAGCGGACAGGATTTTCAATGTTAATGTCACTGTGACCTTGACCTTGGAGCCAGCCATGCGGAACATGCGTTCTGCACGTCATCTTGATGTGGTAAACATTTGTCTGAAGTTTCATCAAAATTCTTCAAAGGGTTGAAGAGTTACAGAGCGGACACAATTTCGTTTGACGCCCGAAGTTAAAATCATGTAAACAGGATTTTCAATGTTAATGTCACTGTGACCTTGACCTTGGAGCCAGCCATGCGGAACATGCGTTCTGCACGTCATCTTGATGTGGTAAACATTTGTCTGAAGTTTCATCAAAATTCTTCAAAGGGTTGAAGAGTTACAGAGCGGACAGGATTTTCAATGTTAATGTCACTGTGACCTTGACCTTGGAGCCAGCCATGCGGAACATGCGTTCTGCACGTCATCTTGATGTGGTAAACATTTGTCTGAAGTTTCATCAAAATTCTTCAAAGGGTTGAAGAGTTACAGAGCGGACACAATTTCGTTTGACGCCCGCCCATCCGCCCATCCGCCCGCCATACCCCAATCTAATAACCAGGATTTTCAAAATTGAAAACCTGGTTAACAATTCTTAAACATAAGGCTATAATAAAAAAAATTTCATCCTTGAAAAACAAAGTAAATACCATCAAATCAAAAACAAGGATGCAATAGTGAAAAGACCAGCAGACCAAATTCCGAAAAATTGATGAAATCACAAGGCCCAGAGCACTTGGTGACAATAATTTAATCGAAATCGCATAAGCAATAAAAGAATATATGTACCAAAAAAAGCCATTCTCTTCAGGTGCCCCTCTGTGCTTAATTTTTAGGCACCAACAGGCTGTTGACCTAGTTTTTGAGCCCAAGACAATCTGTGTCTGAACTTCTGCCTGATTTCGTTATAAGAAAAATTCTGACAAAGTTGAAAGTACATGTTGATATCATTAAACTTACAGATCTCTATTAGCCTAACAAACGATTTTTCTTTTTGGTTGGGTTCTACAACACACCAACACAGCAGTGGTCATATGGCAACTATCCAGTTTTACTGGTGCAGGAAAACCTCCGTTTATTATTTCAGGCACGAATAGGCACCAGAGAACCACCAACTGTGCACATTCAGTAAGCTAGCTTGAAGCTTGATAGCTTGAACACATAAAAGAATCTGAAGTTCCTTAGAAGAATCCAAACCCACTGTGGTAAAGGTATTGGTTTGAAGTTCAGAACCTTGACCACTCTTCCACAGAAGCCCCTCATCAACTTAATGCTAGACAATGGTTGAAATACAAATGATCAATTCTAACAGTAAACAATTTGAGCACATCATTGGCAGTTCAAAATGATCATGTTTTCAAATGATAGTTATGTTTTATCAGAAAGAACTGATTTAACCTTTCTATTAGACAAAACCATATTAGTTATGCAAGTACTTACAGGAGCACAAAAACCTCTAAAACCTATCTCGAAATCAACATCCTTTTCGACTTCATTTGGTGTAAAAGGTTTGGTACAACTTTCTTTGTATACTGACAACTTATGACGAGCATGTTCTTTAAACTTGGACTCTTTGAGTTCCAAATATTGTTCCGACTCTGGGTTTTCAATGAAAATTTCAAAGTTCAAGGCATACCATATGCTCAATATAGTTGAAAAATTTAAGATGGGCTTAGATGCATTATCATATGTGAATAGCTTTAAATCTTTCGTCATTATCAGTCTATCTATCTCACAATTGTACATGGTAATTTTATTTTTTTTTTACCATTGGTAATAAATGATGAATTGAAAGTATTGCATAAACTAGGACTCTTTTTCACTTCACAAAATGCATTGACAATTGTTTGAGCCAATCCTTGTGACATTGCGCGAGTACTAATTACATCCCTTTTAACTTCAATGGTAGAGTCAAAACTTTCATCTGAAGTTGAATTGTCATCATCTCCTATGCTCCCAATTTTTATTCGCTTTTTCTCTGGTTCACCACTTCCATTATCTAAATCATCATCACAACTTATTTTGATGACACTTCTTTTTACAAGAATATCTGCATCACCATGCCATACACTGCCATTCCCTGAAAAAAAACAACAGCAAACAAAATACACATCTTTTACCAAAAATGCAGATTAGTACAGATTTCTTAAAACTAGACAGCTTAGTTACTTGGACTTCCTGAAATACTAATAAATTTTGATTAGGTCTGCCAATTCTTTATTCCGAATCGGTCAGACTGTTCAGCTTTTATCCAAACTGCATGTATACAAAATGGCATCGCTAAAGGTTCCAAACCTGGGAAAAAACAAAAATCTACGTCAGAGTAGCATTCAGAACAGCAGTAAAAGGATGAAAAGAATAGACCTAAGAGAAAATTTAATGCAAAATGGAAGCAGGACCGTAATGGTTGGTGTACCACACGAAGAAGATGAAAATGTGCCGATTTTTACAGCGAAAAAAATTAAAACCTAAGTGCCTTAGAAATACAAACTCAAGTTTTCCTTTGATTTTGTTTAATTTCATTCGGTCTGACAAATTTCGTTACAGTTTGACAGATTTTCATGAGCAAGTTATGCCTTGGACAAAAAACCTTTGAAGAACTTTGTTGCTTTTTTTCGATTATAACGCTGATTTTAACACACTTTTGGTTATATCGTGGCAGGACATCTTGTCGCCTACCTTACAGGCTTCCCTGGATAACTAATCAATTATTAGAAATGTCTCCATAAATTCCCAGTCAGCAATGAGAGATCAAAAGACTCCATGTCTGTCTAAGATCAATTGTCACTTGTTAGCACAGTTTGGGTCTATAAGCAAACTTACCGTAAAATTCCTACCAACGCAGTATAGGTCATATGGCGACTTTCCATCTTAAATGGTGAAGGGAGACCTCGGGTATAATGATTAATAAAATAGATAAATACAGACTCCCTAAAGAAAGTCCAACACAGCAAAATTGAAAATGTTGCAGGCTCGGTTTGATTGAGCCTGTTCATGGACGGTACAAGTTTTAAGTGTCAAGTTTATGGTGAAGTACACTCTGACCTTAACCTTATGACCTTATAAAGGTCACAAACCTCTAACTGATGAAACTCTTGTTCTTGATTGGACAATTTCATGTGTCACTGAAACTTTAACCTTATTTATATTACCATAAACAGGAGTTACTTTCTAGTTAGAATAACCCTGCACAACATATCTGGTTATTGGCCAGATAAGTGTTTAATGATCAAGACAACAGTGACCTTTACCTTTCCCTAATGACCTCAAAATCAGTTACTTTAAAAATCAATGCAGCGCCTCTACTAGTCATGACAAATCATAACACCAAAACATTTTTAGTGGTTAGGTCCATGTTGACCTTGACCTTTCCGAATCCATTAGGTCCTCTTTTAGTTCTGATCAACCTCCACACTTAATATTAGAGCTGTAAACCAAAGTTACTTGCCAGACACTGTCTGACAAGTTTTAAGTGTCAAGTTTATGGTGAAGTACACTCTGACCTTAACCTTATGACCTTAAAATCAATAGCGGTCTTATAATAGTCATGACCAACCTCCATTTCAAATCTTAGAACTCATTAGGCTGAAGCCTTCTCTAGTTACTGGTCAAACAAGGAAATGGTAACATTGTTATGAAATGACACTGTCCCAGTACGCTCCTTAACTATCAAATTGGGGGCATTATGATTATCTTTGTAAAGTTTCATTAATCTGTTAATATCTCCAAAACGATTCATCAAGGAAATATATTTTGAAGCTAAGATTTCTATTTCAACCCAAAAACCTCTGGCCAACATCTTGTTCAATAGACCGTAAAGACTTCAACAATTTAAAGTTAATTTAGAGTCCAGCATGATGAAGCATTATACGCCCAAAGTATGTGTTGTGTAATGTGTACAATATTAAAATATGATAGGACTTGAAAACAACCATAATCTTAAAAAGATTTTACAAAAGTGTAAATGTGACCTTGACCTTTGACTTAATTACCTGAAATAAGACAGAGTTCTGTGAAATTATTTAGGTCAGAAAACCATTGGCCATTAGGGCTAATTGAATACAAGTCCCCTTCAAATTAGTTTGTAGTGCACTAAGACAATCACAGAGGTCTTCAAATCAGTAAGTGACCTTTTCAATTCAATTAAAGAGCTCTTTAAACAAGAGCTGTCACCCAAGTGACGAATGTCCCGAAAAGGTTTCTTAAGTAAACAGGTAATCTCAAAAGAGAAGAGAATGAAGTTATCTAATTGCATAATATTGTTCTTTTTATTATTGTACCTGTAATCATTAATTGTGATAGCTTGAATCTTCAAAATATAAATGTGACCTTGACATTTGCAGAAGGGACGTGGTTCCTGGACACGACAGAATGTTGTTATGAGATAGACATTTGTGCCAAGTTATTTCAAAATCCCTCAATGCATGACAAAGTTACAGTCTGGACATGATTGTTGTGTAAGTGGGGACACACAGACGGACAGACGGACATGAGCCTTAGCCGCGACACATTGTCTTGATGTGGTAGACATTTGTGCCAAGTTATTTTAAAATCCTTCCATGCATGACAAAGTTACAGTCCGGACATGAATGTGTATCTTCAAACTCTTCTCGAGAGAATGAGTACCTTCAAATTTTAAGTGTGACCTTGACCTTGAAGGTAGGGACATGGGTCTTAGTCGTGAGATGTCGTCTTGATGTGGTAGACTTTTATGCTTAGTTATTTTAAATCCTTCGATGCATGACAAAGCAACAGTCCGGACACAAATGTGTGTACCTATAAACTCAAATTGTGATAAAGTAAACTTCAAAATGGTAGTGTGACCTTGACGTCTGAGGTAGGGACTTGATTATTGGACCCGGCACATCATCTTGATGTGGTAGACATTTATGCAAAAATATTCTGCATGACTATGTTACAATCCGGACATCAATGTCTGTACCTATAAATTCTTATTGTGATAAAATGAGACTTCAAAATGTTAGTGTGACCTTGACTTTTGAGGAAAGGATGTGATTATTGGACAAGACACATCGTCTTGATGTGGAAGAGATTTATGCAAAGTTATTTTAAAATCCTTTGATGCCTGTCAAAAATATAGCCGGACACGAATGTGTGTACCTATTTACTCTAATTGCGATAATGTGAAACTTCAAAATGATAGTGTGACCTTTACCTTTGAGGTAGGGATGTGGTTCTTGGACGCGACACATCATCTTGATGTGGTTGACATTTGTGCCAAGTTATTTCAAAATCCCTCAATGAATGACAAAGTTACGGTCCAGACATCAATGAGGTGGGGACGCAGACTGACGGACAGACAGATGGTGCGATTTTAATATGCCTCCCTTTGAGGGCATAAAAAGCTAAAATACAATATTAATTTTTCATATCTTCAAATGAATTGAAGATGTCTTCAATCTAACTACTGGTACATGTATGTGCTGTTTTATACTTCATATCTTTAAGTGCTTTAAAGTGAATTACCAAGCGATGTATTATCTACAGCAGCACGGACATCTAGGTAACATATAGGACATCTTTTTGCCTTTCCATATTTTGATCCAATCTTGAAACGGCTTCTACCTGCCAGAGGTCCAAATAAATGTGCGGCTAGTATTACTTCAATATGACACTGACTGTATTCCTGACTAAATTGATGCAAGGAAAGAAGACACTTGGTGTGATTTTCTGAAATTAAAATTACAAAAAATATGTTAAATGATTATGCCCAGCTTTGAATTTGGAGTAGTCAATTGGAAAACTGTTGGGATACAGTAAATAAAACCACAACATATTGCTGAAGACAATGGATGCTCCCCAAAATTCTCTAATTAGTCAATATACTGGTTTCCTAGCAGTTTCCGTCCCCTAGCAGTTTTCCGGTCGTTTATCATTTTCGTCCAGTATAGTCTATTTTTACCAGAATGGCATCCACATTACTTCATCAATCAGAGAGACATTTGTTTTCTATGCTGAACAGCATTTAAAATAGTACAACGATTTATATGTTTTGAAGTTTTGCTTGTTATTTAAAGTTACATATTAAGAGAACTTGCGACTTTCAAAAATAAGCAACAGCTGGGGGAATTCTAGTTTGAATATCCATGCGCAATAACTAAGACCCCATTTTAGGTAAATCAATACTTCGGAAAATATTTTTGCAGACGACACAGAGAAGGTTGGGAAGTTCTGTTGTCTTAACATTGCTTTATGGTACTGAATTATATTCAAAACAAGAACGTGTTTGTTAAACACAAATGCCCCAGCTCAGATTCTTGTCAGTAGCAATATTTCAAAAAATGTTTACCTATTCACTCAGTAATGAACATAAAAATTGCCAAAAAATTGTAAACACAAGTTATATAGCTTGACAAAGTCATGGCATTTTGTAATTGTCAAAAATATAAGTTGCCAAGTCATTGCTCTGACTTGTGAAGTTGAAAAATATTCAACTTCGTGCAAGTTATCTTCCTACCAAATATGAAATACATCTGTCATTAAATAAAGGCTGTATGGGCAAAAGTGTAAAAATCTATTTTGAGCACTGGTGACCTTAACCAAACTGACCCCTAACTCTATCCAAAAGAAGAATACCTTGTAAGTTATCTTCCTTTTGTTTTGTTTGTTTGATTTGGGTTTTACGTCACATCGACACAGTATAGGTCATATCGCGACGTTCCTACCAAATATGAAATACATCTGTCAATAAATAAAGGCTGTATGGGCAAAAGTGTAAAATTCTATTTTTAGCACTGGTGACCTTGACCCAACTGACCCCTTACTCCATCAAAAGGAAGAATACCATGCAAGTTATCTTCCTACCAAATATGAAATACATCTGTCAATAAATAAAAGCTGTATGGGCAAAAGTGTAAAAAATTTATTTTTAGCACAAGTGACCTTGACCCAACTGACCACTAACTCCATCAAAGTTTATGTTTCTATCAATTGTAAATAACATCTGTCTATAGAATAAGGTCAATACACCTGTAAAAATGCCGATATTAAATATCTTGTTTAATTAATAAAAAGTGATTTTATTGACAATACTCTGATTACATATCATTGCTATTGTTTATTTATAATCAAGGGTGCAAACATTTTGTTTAAAGTATATAGATTACAGGCCGATTTCGGTAATCCTTTGCCGATTCCGGCAGTTTGCCCGTTTTCGCTGATCATAAATATTTGTTTATTATTATCATTATTTAAAAGCGATTTTTTTCACAATCTCTAGGAAGATTAATGATAATATTTAGGTTTTATAAAAACATGCAAAAGGAACATTAAAAGTTGCATAAACAACGAAATAACAGGCCGATTCCGGTCACAGGCAGTTTGGCAATAGCTCGCCGATATTAGATCTCTTGATAAATTAATCAAAAGCGATTTTATTTATAAAAATCTTTTCATAAATCATTGATATTGTTTATATCTTATAAAATTGCAAGGAAAAACTTAAAAAGTTTAATTATTACAAAGTTACAGGTCGATTCCGGTAATTCACCGCCGATTCCGGTCGATTCCGGTAATTCGGCCGATTCCGGTAAGTCGTGTAACCGAAAAATGTATATTGTCTTGCCTTTCAAGCTTTTCAGGGCTGAAAATTAGCGGTCGCCCAGTCGCCCACGGCGACTTAATTTGCAATTGGGCCACCAAAAATTTCAAAATAGTCGTCCAGTCGGCGACTAAAAAAATCGGCCGTAGATTAATTAATATCCGCCATTAAATCAACTCGTGTGAAAAATCAAAGGAGCAAATGAGCAAATTGGCTCCAAGTTATTGAATTGGCTCAAGAAAATCACGATTAGCTCAAACCTCCACTTTTGGAATCTCCAGTCTAAATTTAGAATTTGCTATTTTAAGAATGGAAAAGTACACATTTGGTTTTCCATTTTCAATTTCCGCTTTACCGCTTCTTATCTCAAAACACAGCCACACAGTCTACTTCTTGTGGGTCATTGACTGGTTTATATTTTTACCTCCCCTTCTGTATTAAATATTGATATGAAAAGTAACACAGTCTAATACACTGACCCTCACCGTTTGTTTACATCAGCTGATAAATATGACACTAATTGTCGTGAACATACCTGGCAGCTTGTTGAATATGCATAGGAAATTGGGTCTTAATATTTAACATGAAACAATAAGTAGCGGCATCCCGAGATTATCGCTGATCAAATCTGAAGTTTGGGTATGAAATAGCGACAAATTATGTTGTGCAGTTGACAACTTGACCTGTTGACGGTAAGTTTGCATTCAGTAAATTTTATCGTTGTTGATAAACAGATCAAAAGAAAATATTGGTAAAGAGTAATGGTTGTTTTTTTATGTTTTTTTTTCAATTTTTTTTCCTCTGGGGAGGGGGTTGATTGCCATTTTATTCTAACCTAATTTAAATTATGCCTTTACAAGAAATTTATTTGACATTTGGATTTAAAGAGAATTCCTTGGAAAAAAAGATTGACCTTGATTTGACTTAAAATTAAATTTAAGTTTTGTAACCCCTAAAGCTCTTGCAGAAGTATTCATTTATAAATGGCTTATGACTTTGAAATATTAAAGAAAGATTCAGTTAAGTAACATACAAACAGAAAATGCCTTCAGATAACTTATACTGATTCATGTACTCTTAAAATGACAGTAGTACATGTGATTTTATTCCTTAATTATCTTTAGTTTAGAATTTTCAATATTATTTTCTTCACTCTTCTTACTTTCAAACTTGTTTCTTCTGTATTATTTCAGATACAGATAGTCTTCAAGCCAAATCTTTGTCATTAACCAAGCAAGTTGAAGCAGCACATTGGAATGTGTTTCTGCTGTTACTGTCATGCCACTGACTTAACCAGGCAAATGTCATAGCAACTGAGCTGGAAGCTTTTATAATTATTGACTGTAAATTTTATAAGTTTGATGTGTTAATGTGATAAAAATGTAGGTACCAAAATAAAAGTGGACAATATAGTTTATGTTTTCTAAATACCTCATGCCGTACCATTCTTCCTTATTTGAAAATAAAATACAAGCACGCAATTTTCGTTAAAAAAATTGGCTAAAAATAAAATTTGCCAGTGCTAGCCCCTTTCTGTTCATAATTTGTTGGTCCACTAATATATTTACTGGGCCACCAAAATTTTACGGTCAGTGGCCCAGGTGGCCACCAAGCTTAAATGGTTAGTTTTTATCCCTGCTTTTAATATTCAAAAGCTTATCTTCTTTTCTTTCAATTTCATGCTCAATCATACACAAAAACTCTCAAACAATGTACTTATCAATTTAAAATAAAATATAAACATCAATCTATTTTTGTCTATCAGCCATACTGGTTAAGCAAGGTGCTTTACAGATTGATTCAAATTTTTTGAACGGAAAAATATATTTGAACACACTGACGGTGCATGGGCTATTATTTCGTTAAAAAAATATTCCGTTAGATTGTTCTGACTCAGTTAAACGCTTGCATTTGAATTAGCCAATCAGATTTCGCGCACTTTATGGCCGCCATTTGTTTATCGGCTGTAAAAAGAATTGAAATACATGAGAGGATTTAATCATGATTTTTCGGAAGTGACAGTTTAATTATTTTGACAAAAGGTATTTATTTTTTAGTTTTGTTCATAAATAGGTCAAAACTAATGTAAATACACGCTGTCTTCATTGTTTTTCGTTCCGCCCGATTTTCTGGCGGAACATGCTATGGGTTTTTGAGCAATTTCGATATGACGTTGCTTTGCCCAGAAGCAAAAATAACTCAAAGCGACGTTATATTATAGGACTAAGGTAGCTGTTTGATTTATTTACCGCAACTTTTTCAGCATTTTCACGTAGCCTGAATCATAGGTGTTCGGCGCTTTGATTGGTCACTACCCCCCGGGCCAACCCCCCCCTCACCCACTCTACAACCCTCCTACCTCTCAAAACCATGTAAACTGTAGTATTTTTCATTTTAAACATGTTTTAATATTTGGTACATGCTTTTAATTCAATTACCTTCATCTCCCACAAAAAATAAAAAAATGATATAATATATATTTAGTAAAGGTATGCAACTCGCAGCTCATTTTTCAGCACTCATCTTAATATGAACTCCATAACTCCAACATTTTTTCACCAATTTTCAATATCTTGGTACCAAATGGTAGGGAATTGATTACTCTTAAAGGAATTAAAGCTGTCATTACAATCATTTCAAGTTTTAAGAAGATATGTAATCTCGAAGTCACCGCAAGTGTAACTCGACAGAGACCTGACCGCTGGGTTTTTGTCAAAATTACCCGACTAAACGGCAGTTTATTCGAAATGAATGAATATTTTTTTGTATTGCACATATAAATATGATCAAATTATATTATTATTTGTAATAACTGTTCAATCAACGCGCCGAACACCTATGGCCTGAATTACATAACTTATTTGATTTACACAAAAGTTATGACGAAAGTTTTTATAAAATGTATACCATTTGCAATGATTTCCTTCAAGTTTTCTATTGCATCACTTTTATGGGGGGTTGGCCCGGGGGTAGTGACCAATCAACGCGCCGAACACCTATGGCCTGAATTACATAACTTATTTGATTTACACAAAAGTTATGAACGAAAGTTTTTATAAAATGTATACCATTTGCAATGAATTCCTTCAAGTTTTCTATTGCATCACTTTTATGCTCCTTTTTTTCTAAGAAATATGACACAAGTTCTTTCTGTCCAGCTTGAAAAAAGTACGCAAGTGGAAGCCCTTTGCCGATGGTGAAGTCAACTGTTGCCTCCGAAAATCTCTTTGAATGTGCAGAGGCATCACAGAAGTCAATAATAATCGGACATGCTGCTTCCATGTTAACAGTGCAGTCTTTATGATCATGTTCATATTCAAGAAAATATTGACGCAAGATATCTGCCGCCATTTTCGCATTCGGAACATCTCGTTGATTATCAGGCCTCAGACCACAATTATATTTTCCTACGTCCTGTGGCAATTTTACTGAAACTCCTAAGTCTTACTCTTCAGCGTATCCGTCATGAAAAACAAAAATGTTAAAAAGCGGCTTATTAAGTTTTGGAAGCCAGAACTATGAACTCCAAGCAAATAAGGGTCGCCCGTACTGTGCATATAAAATGATTGCTATCCATCCATGGAAGTCACTGCATGGCTGCTAAGAAAATGACCTAAATATTTGCTAAGGAAATTCAATAGTTGATATTGAAATCACTGATTGCTACGGGAAGTAATTTGCAGCAAACAAAAGACGTTGTACTGACGTTAGACCCTGACGATTTGATGATTTGAAAGTTTTTTAGATGTCAGAATCTACCCTTTTCTGACTATTATCTGATCATAGCCCAACCTTTTCTGACCATTATTTTACAGTTTTCCATCCTTTTGACCATGGTTTAACCTCATTTAATTTTTTTGGAATATATTTTTTTTTTTCATTTTAAAGCTCTTTAATTTTCTTAACAATAACCGAACCATATTGGCTGCTTTGTAATTAATTGCTTGTTCAGGAAAGTCGATAGTTGCTATGGTAACTCAATTGTTGCTATGGAAGTCACTGGTTGCTATGGGAGTTTGATAGCACAGGTCGCAAAGAAAAATTAATTGTTGCTTTCCCCTTTTGACCATATTTTACATTTTATTTACATGCATTATGAGCGAGAATGCTCGCCATTTTGCTGGATTTGTAACTGTGAGAGATTTTAGGCACGTGTGCTAATTTCCGAACTACACCTCGTGTTCAATAAAAATCTACAAAGTCGATAACACCATATGAATTAAGCTTAGAAATACGGACGGGTGCCCGCACAATATTATTTAACAAGTAACAGAAAAGTTATCGATGAAATATTTTAAGACCTTTGCGAAACTTAAGACGAGCGTTTCTAACAAAATACACGAGAAATGTTTGTGATGAAAACTGTCGGAAGAGAATAGAGCAATGGCAGCAATGGCAGCAATGAATATGTACGAACTCTCAGTCACATAGAGACAAACAGTTTGATATGAATTTTACAATAACAGGCCTTCTGAGTACGCTGCTAGTGTAGCTATGTTGTTACGGGGGCTGCGTTCCATGAACGCCACCTTGCCTTGTTGATCTTTGTTCCCATTTTGTTTAGTCTGAACAAGTGCATTTTATTACGAAGAGGGGTCAAAATGTCAATGGGATTTATAACCACCTAAATTATGATCACTAAAGTACAGATCAGAGGAGCATGTTGATGTCATATACAGTCAAGACTGTCATATGTGACTTTCCAAGGGACCCTCAGAAAAAGGTCACATATGACAGGGAGTCTCTTAATACAGTCTCAAAGAAAATTAAAATACATAACTGTGTGAAGGAATAATATGTAACCAATTGTAAATAAACATAGGTTCTTTAAATACTTGATGTAAATATAATGAGAATCCCTGTAAAACATTATAATTAATTGCATGTATATCATATAAAAATAATTTTATTTTTATATTAGATTTATATTGAATCATTTTAGTACAAATAAACTTAAATCTGATGCATTCAAAATCCTTAAAATAAATATCATACTTTAAGACATATTCATATCCAAAGTTTTTTTCTCTTTTTAATGGAAGGTAGATCTATCAACATTTTCACGTAAAATTCATGTAGCAATAGAAAGGTGAAATAAAAAAATCTTCCGTTGGCATTACATAAACAGTAAAAAAAAATCTGACACAAAATCGTAATCCAGTTTGATCAGGTCATTATGTACTTCACACCTCAATTTGTTAACACACATCGATTGCATTATGCTTACCATATACTACGTCACTTGATACCTGTATGTACATGTAAACTGTGTATTGATGCAATGTTGTGTAGAGGTTGTTTGAAGTGTACTGACTACTGGATAATAATTGGACTTAATTATTTTGGCCCTCTGGGTGTTAAAACAGGTATTATTTATCTGATAAACGGACAATTAAAAGGTGTGAAAGTCGTTTAAATCAGACAAAGCAATGCATTGGGACCAGACAATTAGGGTCGCTTGTCACATATGACAGGGAGTCGTATAATTCAGACCATTTATATAGGAAAATACGTTGGGAGGACTGAAACAAGGTCGGATAAGACAGGGAGTCGTTGAAATCAGGGGGTCACTAAGGCAGTCTTGACTGTACATGCATTTGACGCATTTACCTGGACAACAATGATAAAATATCTTACAAAGTCTTCATTTTGATAGACAAGTATTTAGAGCAAAATCACTTTGCTATATATCCATACAATGCAGATATCTAGAAATAGAAAATAAGCATTTTGCTCTGATAATTTCTATAAAAGACATTGGTCCCCGTCGCTATTTTTTCCATACGTCTCATACTTGCCGAGAATAGCATCCATTTGGGGGAGGGGAGGGAGGTTATTGGCCTCGCAACCGAATCTATGACTTATTCAATATTTTGCAATTATAATCATCCATTAGTGAGCCTTAATCATAACATGTATTTTTGTGCTGATTTATGTTGATAAAAACTCTCATGCAAGACTTGATAAGAGAAAAGATTAAGTCAATGAAAGAATTTACATGTACACCACAGACAGTATATAGGTTCAAGTTCCATTGCTGCAAATTTATGACTCATATTATTGTATTAATATAAAATTGTTGCTTTTGTTGTCGTAAAAAATCCCAAAACACGCTTTATTTTCTATATCCACTCAGAAACCGTACATGAATATCATATCTTTTATTTACATTGTGAACATATCGGGAAACAAAATAATATTTCAAACTAAATAAAAAATATAACCAACTCTGAAAGTAAAGATTTATTCAATCATTCAAGCAATATAAAGATTCAGCAATGTACATGTCGGTACTCTCCTGGCAATCGGCCGAATGTTTCACTAACGCTCACTTAGCGTGAGTGCATTCAGTTAGCTGCGAAGGGAGCGTAACATGTCGGATACATATAGAAATACATATCAGTAAATTAATTATATTTTTGGGATAAAAACAACAAACAAAACAGTGCAAATTGATTAAAAATATAAGGGTACACAGACAAAAGTGATTGTTTTCTTAAAGATACAGATAATATGAACTGATGTGTAATCTTTCTATGTCTCTTTACTTTTTCTTCATAAATAAATATTTGTGTTTAAGAAATACTGAATGTTTGATATTACTTTCAAATTTGGTTCAAATTTTTAAATCATTTATGAATCATGAGCGGGCATATAACGGACATATATATCCTTTGAATCAATATTACAATGATAAACAGTTATACACGTTAACAAAAAGAGCAATAAAATATGTTTAAATTAAAATTCCTATTAAAAAGAGAAGGTTAAAAAGACAGGGGTTTGTTTGTTTGGATTTTACGGCACGTCAACACATAAATGGCCATATCGTGCCGAATGCTAAAATAGGCTTAAACTATTATGTAAAACGTTGTAAATAAAAATAAAAAAAGAGCCAATCAGATCTTTGAATACAAGTTTATCTCTTTCAAATAATCGATGATGTTTTTTGATGGAATTGTATTAAAGAGTTCTTTGAGTGAGTTTACATTATAAAATCTGTTACGGGCTTGTGAAAAATCATGACATTCCAGAAGAAAATGCTTGACAGTAAAATTTTCATTACAGCCTACACAGAAAGGGGCATTGTCATTCGTGAGGAGATAAGAATGGGTAACTTTAGTGTACAAACTAATATGCTACAGTGCTGTATCACATACATATCATTACGACGTATAGTTTTCTTAAGAACGTTTCTACTTAATTATTCCTTGTCTCACACAAACGTGTCACTTACATCAAATATATGCTTTTATATAGTAACTTGAAGATTGAAAAATTGACAATAAAATAAAATGTTCTAACTTAAGAAGAAATCAACAAACATATAGAGCTAAATTTATTTTCTTTAATTAGACACTTGATATCAACTTATTTTTAAAGTTAAGATCAGTTATATGTCATATATAATGATGAAATCCATCAGTTCAGTTAAGTTCACGGTAGCTGGTAGGATTATGTTTAATTCCTTGTACGGCGTTTTAAATTCTTATTTCCTCGTATTGGTGTCACTTATTTTCTTAGCTGCTCATAATCGGTAGTGAAGACATCTGGATGTCTAGGTTGAATTACTGCTTTTCCTCCACTTTGGGTGTAACCGGGACATTTAGGAGGATCCGCACCTGTTGTAGACACGGTACTGAAATATTGAAGTAAATGTAAGAAACTTTTCATGCCTAAAGATTTGGAGAATTTTGTGCCCGACAATGTTGTAAATTATATTTTCCGCTATGACTTTGGATTAAGCCATTACTCTATGCCAATTATAAATATATACACTGAATGTTAATACAGTCATAACCACAAGCGGATAAAGCAACGTTTTTTCGTGGACAAAAATCAGAGTATCAAACATCTTTAACAAAACTGCACAAAAGATACTTGTTAAAATAAATTATATTCTCTTACAAAATCAATTCAAATGTTCAAAGGAAAATATTAAAACTTACAAAAGTTTTGAAGAAGAAGATAGAAAAATAAAACAACAAAGGAAATCAAACGAACCGCTTTTTATTTTT